ATGCCAAGGGCATAAATTTATCCTGACACCACAAAAGAAACCTGCTGCAGGCTGCTATTTCATCTGTGTATTGGATACAAGACAGGTTATATAGAGGGTAGGGGCTAAAGTTTTAGATTTATAGTAAAGAATTTGGTGGAGACTAGTAAATAGATGAAATTCAGGCCTAGTTTAGTGTTTCAAATGCCATAAAACAGTGACTATTATTTGTTTAAAAAATAATTTGAACTGCTGTGGTGCAGTTGTAGGGTCTGAGAGATGCTCTTATGTCAAAATGCTGGACAGTCCTTTTAGCCAGGACTTCCTAAGGGCATAGTTGCAGTAATGCTGCTTTTTAGGGTCACTGTGGCTCAGGATAGAAAGAAGTCCATCCAAAACCCCTTGCAATGATTCCCAGGTGCTCTCTGGTCCTTTGGGACCACCAGCAGCTGGTGTAGCTGGGAAAGGACTTCCCAGGCCATGCCAAGGACAGTGGAGCTGCAAATTGTCTGTGGCAGCAGCACTTCTTGAGATGCACTGAAAGTGCTCAGTGCAGGCAAGGAGACCATGAATCCTCCTGCCAAGTACTGGTTGTACAGTCCCTGACACTTCATTTCCCTGGCCCCCAAGATGATTGTTCCTGGCCTTGATTGCTTTTTAACACAGCTTTGAGAACTGAGCTAACCTACTGCTTATAATGAAACCCAACAAAAGGGATCTTTTGAGAGTTTTACACCTTGTGGCTGGATTAGAAGGTTACATCTTTCTCAGTGATGCAAAAAGTACTTTTGCTAGGAGGTGTGATTAGGGAGGATAGCAGGGAAGGTGCCAGGAAAGTTCTGGTTGTTGTATTCATCAGTAAGGACTTCTTGGTTTGTTTCTTTTCACATGTCCTTTTGAATTATGGGCTTGCTGCTTCTGAAGCTGCAGGGCTGAAGGGGATTATTAGATAAGTCAAAAAAGGGTGTTATTCTTCCCATGCTGCAATGTTTAAAGGATAATTCTCTCACAGATCTCCTCCACTCTGCTATGTAAATGAAAAAACTAACACCTTGTGCATTACAAATAAGAATCACATGAAAATAGGGTTTATAGTCACTGAGAATTGATAACATCCATTCCTGAGAATCTCAGATAATTCTTGACTACTTTAAAATAAATAATTTTATGATGCATTTTACCTATACTTGCACATAAATTTCAATATAGACTTTTGGGGGGGGGCATTTCAGAGATGCCCACTAGCCTCTGTCTGTTCTCTGATAAACTCACACCAAGTTCCCTGTAATTCTAAGGAAAGGAGCAAAAAAGGGACAGAGAAGAGCTGGCTGAGCTGCTTTAAGAAGACCCCTACCCTTGTCACCTGTGGCAGAGGGACAGAGTGGCCTTGAGTCTTGCACTTGGAGAGCTGGGCTTGTAAATACTTGGGGATTGCTGTACATCACAGCTGCTGGGGTTTATCTGTGCTAAAGAAACTCTGCTGTCCTGTCTCCAGTTATTTTATGCCCATAATTTACAGATAGAGTGTAGCACATACCCACCCTCACCATGTTTTTTGATCTATTTCTTGTGCTCTGCAAGAGCTGGCAGGCCCTCAGGGAACAAAGCAAGATTTCAAAAAGAAAAGACCATCAGGTGCTGATATTCTGTAAAATCACTTCTGATTGTTCTTTGCACCTCTTCCCCTCAATCAAAGAAGACAACTAGTCTTTGGAGGCTGTAGAAAAATTACTCCATGCTGCTGAACCCTGGAAATTGTCAACATGATCTATTCAATACAGCCCTATGAACCCTATTCCCCCTGGCAGAGCCCTTTCCCATGGCATGAGGATTCATTTCTGGTTTGCAGCCAGCAGAAGGATTCCAGTGAGAGGGACAGTTTCCACACCTGTTATTTTCCAATGCTCAGAAGGACAATGCAGTTAGATCCTGTTTGAGAAGACACAATGCTTTCTTCTCATTTCATGTTTCAAATAGTGCTCTTGGCATCTCAAACATATTCCATACCAGAGGGCCTTGATCCTCAGGATGTTTTCAGGGGAAGCATTTTCCTGTATAAACTACTGTTGCTCTCATGAAAATTTCTGATTGATCTGTTTCCTCATCTAGCACAGAGCTTCTGTGAAGGCTGCTGTGAAGGCTGCTGCTTGCTTCAAGACACAAAGAGAGCTCCTGCTGAAGCAGCTATCTCTGAGGAGGCAAGGGGTTTAGAGTTTACTCCTGCTGTCTACCCAGTGCTTCCTTGACTCACCTGTGATGCTGACATCCACACCAACTCTCTCCTTTTCCAAATTATGATGGTAACACTTAATTTCAGGCAGCTGGTTTGCATGAAAACTTGCTATCTTTCTTCTAGTGAAGTTTTCCCCTTCTTAGGATGTTGTGTGTTTTTTCCATCATATTGGTGGTCTTATCTTTAGTCCATGCCTTTCTTCTCCCTGCTGAGTCTGTACATATGGCTCCAAACAGATGTTTACTGTTTGATTAGTACTTGTAGCTCCTGCCCAATTAATGGAATCACCCAGAAGGAGAAATCCAGGTTTTTAAGTCATCCACAGGTTGGGCAATGTCAGGCACTTGGTGGTGATGGATTAAGTCTGGAGCTGAAGCTCCAGAGTACCCAGTGGTTGCTGCCCATGAAACAAGGATGAGATGAAAGCACAGCTGAGTGTACCAGACTGAGAGCTGTGGCCACCCCTGAGTGGATAATGTGGGCCAGATTTTGGGAGTAGAATGGCCTAAAGGGAGTGGAGGGAACCCACATGAATGGTGACTAGAGATGTCTCATTGTGACCTACTGACACATATATTAGACCTCCAAACTGAGCATACTTACCTCAGTATGGGGAAATCCCTGTGCACCTCAAGGTACACATAAAAATTGTATCATTTATGCAGTTTTTTGTGCAATCTCAGTTCTGACTCCCTCTTGGGTGTAAGAGAGAAAATAGAAAGCTGTTTTAAAGGGACAAGAAAAAAGCAGTTTGTACCATAGGAAGTCTGAATAGCAAGCTCCAGCTGACTGATTCACTAAGCTAAGTGCAACATGGAAAGTTCAATGTTAGGGAAATAACAGAGCTTTCATCTCCTGGTGGCAGGCAGCCATGGTTGTTGTTACTAGCACGGTCAGCTAACACAGGCTGTGGACACAAACTTAATATTCATCCTTCTGGTATTGCTACAGATGGATAAAATCACCATGAGAACTACCCTGTACTGAAAAATACCTGTTCATACTGTTTGTCTTTCCTCAGGCCAGTGAGGTCAGTTCTGAGCTGGGGCTGGGAGCATGTCTGGTGGCTTCTGTGACGTGTGCAGGTGGCTCAGTGTTCACTGGATAAATACATCAGGAAGTTCTCTGCATCACAGCCAGGCTGCCTGGGACAGGCCAATGCCTGGTGGCACAAAGATGAGCTCAGATGGGACAAATGCAGTGTGACCTATGCATTCAGCAGATGTTTTCTTAACAACCACTTTCTGGCACAAAAGAGGAGTATTTCCCTCCAACCTCCTGTGTCTCTTCTGTGCTTGGAGAGAGGGGAGCTCTGAGAGTACAGCTGTGGAATCTAAATAGGAGATAACAATTCAAATGTGTGTACTGATTTTCAATACAAAACCCTGATTTTCAGTACACAATGATTTTTTTAAAAAACTTCATGCTGCCAGTGATGCCTTTTGCACTTCCAGTGCCTCTTCTCCTGCATGGGGCACAGCAGCAGCACATTTTGGTGTCTGCTATAATATGGGTTATACTTGCAGTCATATATTTCTGATTTTTATCAAATTGAGTTATAAGTGGAGATATCCTGCAGAAATAACAAATTATCTTTTAAAATGAATGCTAGAAGTGATCTTGTATTTCTCTTGAGAAAGTGTGTCCATGGATTCTGTGAAGAGAGTCGGATGGCAGACAGAGGTGAGCTGGAATTCATTGGAATAGGATAATGGTGGGTGATGTCCTAAGACTCAGAGCAGGACTGATGGTCCCAGGAAATCCAGAGGAGGATTTCTCCTGATGAGAAACCAGTGGGAAACCTACCTGCTGGCACATGGTCCAGCCTGGAGGCAAATCAGCAAGAGGAAAGGAGGCAAAATGGATGGCTGTGACCTGCCTTGCTCCACAGACCACTAGGGGAAAAAAGGCCTTGTATGACTCTGCTGATAATCCAGCACTGAGCTTGGGAGAGACACCTGAACCAATGGTATATAAGCAGATGGAAGTTATAAACATGAAAGAGAATCTTAAATAGGATTAAATGGAAACATTAAATTATGTAAACTCCTGTCTTTCTACTGAGAAATACAAATTTCAATGAGAAACAGGAAGGGGGGGGGAGAAATGGAGCATGTGTGGTTTGGTTAGTTGTTTGGGTGTTTTTTAAATTGAAAAAAAATGCTTTAATTGAAAACCATATAATTGTAAAAAAGAAACAGAGTAGAACAAAAATATTTTACTTCTCTTGACTTTGTCCTCTTACCTCTTCTGTGCATCAATTTTCTCTCTTGTTTTAAACTCCTGGCATCTTGTTTTATAATTAAATTTTGAGTTCTTCAGGGCAGCAGCTATATTCAGATATGGAGCAGTAAACAGCCTGCAGCAATAAATCCTTACCCTGATTGGCACCAGTGAGCAATATAAACACTATGTAAGTAATGAGAAAGTCTGAGAGGTGCTGAGTCCTGGATAAACACCATTGTTTTTCAGCAGCTTACATTATAGTGGCATTAATTCAAACAGTGCACAAAACGGTGCCAGTGCGTTGGCTAAAGGCAGGCTGGATACTGCTTGGAGGTAAGGAAAGTCATGAAGAGCTGGGTGAGCCCCATGGTGTCCTCTGGGAGGAAAGATGCTCTGGGGAGGAGCTGATTTGGAACTTGGAGCCAAGCTTCCCATCCTTTGGGAAGGAAAAAATTGACAGTTGTCTTCTTTTGTGACATTCAGGAAGGATGAAATGTCCTATATGAGAGAGATGCAAACTCCCATCATAGCAGGAAACCTGAAGAGCTGTCCTGCTGACTGCTTCAGTTGTCCACATTTATTTATTTAGAGCCATTTGAGATATCCTGTAATAGGCCCCAACTTCCAGCTGCCACTTGGGAGGGAGAAAGGTCATGTTTAATATTTGGCAATTCTGTGTAAATATCTTGGGTACCAGAGGCAAAGCTGGCACTGGACATCTGAGTTCAGGCAGCTAGTTGGTGTGCCAGGATGTCTGCTGTGGGGTGAAGTGGGCTGGTCTCTGGACTCCACTGAAGCCTGGACATCCAATCCACGTGTGAACACTTCCCAGCTCTCCTAACCTGCAAGGGGAATATTATTATCCTTTAATATGTGCCTCAAGACAAGACTTTGCATAATGTCCTTTAAGATAATACATTAAAAATTGCTTGATGCTGACATTGTGAAAGTTCTTTAACCTCTTTTTAAAAATGAGGGGTCTCAAAGTGGAGCTGGAGTTGCATGTGAGAATGTGACTTCAGCCCTGCTCTGAGCAGGCGTGGTGGCTCTGCAGGGCTGGGCAGAGGGAGCTCACAGGGACAGCCCCTGGCCTGGCATCCTGCTCTGGCTTGTGCACAAGGCTGTGCAGAGAGCACATCTCAGATGTTACTGAAAATGCATTACACTCTTTCTTTTCCTTTCCTTTGCCTTAGTTTTATTTTTTTTTCCCTCAGGAATAATTTCCTTCTGAGTATGTGAATTTACTGCAGCAATAACTAGTGTTTGCTTACATGTTTGTACAAGAGAAGCACAAGAAGCCCCTAGTGTCTGACAAGGACGCTGTGGCAAAACAAATTAAACATAGAGACAGAAAACCAGAGTGCAGAGAGAGAGGTTATTACACCAAGGATGACAACGGCCCTCTGAGACAAGTCTCAGGTCTTCTGAGGTTTGACTCAATACCTCAACCAAAAAAAAAAAATTCCATGCAAGATATCAAAAACTTGTACTTGAAAGTTGTTGGTTCTTGTACTTGAAGTTCTAGATATGGGCATATGGAAAAAAGAAATGGTCCTTGACCACAAAGGACTTCAGCATGAGGTGTAATCAGACAGGAAATGAGAAGGGTGTTTAAGATCACAGGTATTTTGTCCCAGTGTTGGAGCAGGACAGATGGACTGTCTCTGTATCCCCAGATGTTCTTAAAGAGAGAAGGAACTGACTACAACTAAGAGGTTTTTTATCTGAAAGTCAGTACCAGTATGTTTTTTCACCTCATATAAACAAAGAAAAAGAAGGGTTTGTTCTGCTTCACTGGAGCAAAAAATATAGCACAATGGAGTTCCATTCAGGCACACAAATAGCAACTGTCCTGTGACTTCTCTATTTAAATGGGTCTCCATGGTGAGATCTGCCTCACTCTCAGTAGATGGCTGTGGAGCAGTGCTGTGCTTCACACTGCAGGCAGGGAGGAAAAGGCATCTGAAACATCCCCCTTGCAATGAATGAATGAAGAAATACAACAAGATATCAAGTTTCTGGTGCATGACACTACAAAACATGATGCCTGTGCTCTCCACCACTGCTTTACTGTCCCTTCACACTGCTTTTCCAGGCCCATTCCAATTAAATGTATTCTCTACTTGCAGGCACAGCCCTGACCAACAGATGGTACATAAATAGGTGTAAAAACTGCAGCATCACAAGGGGCTTCCTTGCCAGGCTGCATTTCTTGTTTGCTTTCTTCTTTCACTGTAGGTAGTAGAGATTGGTAATCTGCTCTGTGATAGCCAAGCCTGGACCAGACCCCTCCAGGGTCTTGCCCACCTCAGAGCACACAAGGATGAGTTGGTGCTGTAGGAACCACTGGAGATGTCTGCTGTGCAAGTAGCCTCTAGCAGCAAAAAGAAAAGAGGAGCTGAGAACAAGATTGCTGGACTTCTTGAACCACCTATTTTCTAGGGAGAATGGCAGACCTCCCTAAAATTCAAGATACTACTGGTATGGCATCAATGCTATTTATATGAGGGATCTGTGAAATAAAAGTAAAAATCAGCTAAAGAAGTCTGAGCAATGAATGATGAGCTCCTGGTGCTGGAATAATTATTACAATTGATGACAACAAAGATCAGCTGTCTTGCCAAATACAAGCTTTGAAAAATAGTACCTTATAACTACAAAATAAGCCAAAATTGAGTTAAGGAGTTAAATACAAAAATATTGCTCTTGGGCTGTTATTTGTATTCTGCATTAAGATACTGAGGGTTCACACTTTTCAGATCTTATCAGCTAGAAAGTGTCATGTATCATTTAAAAGTGTTATATTCTGCTAGTAAGTTGAATGTAAAATCCTCTTATAGATCATGACATTCACTGTAAAATTATTAGCAATGCTAATGCTGATACAAATTGTAAGATATTGATATACCAGTGTTAATGCATTGAACTTGAATTCCATCAAAAGCAGTAGAAAAGATGTTCTGACTTTAACTGAGACACAGATCTGACCTATACATTTTTAAAAGGTTATGCCTAAGTGCTAGAAATGGAAAATGTTAATAAAAATGGAATCTCTCTTTGCTGTCATCCAGGCAAAGCCCCCAAAGGTTTTGTATGTACCTTTTACCATTCATTGTTGTATTTTCCTTCCATGTCAAGCCTGGAAGCAGACTCATCAGTAAGCATTTGCTTTATTCAAACCAAGTCAAGAGTTAGGTACTAACTCCAGCTGCTACCAATACAGCAGCCATTGAAATGTGAAAGCACAGTTCAAAAAACCTGATTTTGAAAGTGCTTTTCTGTGGAATCCAGCCAGCTTTTTGAAATCAGACTTTCGCTGTCTACCCTAAACTAACCAAATGTTCCAAAATCTGGAAAAGCAGCTAAGGAATCCTGCTGGTGCAGAATGATTACCTTGCATAGCTTCTCCCTTGTGTGTCAGGGCATGCCAGGGTAGGTGTTTGTGGTGTGCCATGGTCCTCACTGTTCTTTAGGCCTGTGCTCTGTGTGGTCTCCATGGACAGGCTGCCCTTTTATTTGTGTAGCAAGAATGGGGAAAGGCAGAACTCAGCAGTGCTGGCAACAGGGACTAGACAGGAGGAGCAAAATCAGATGTCTGGGGTTCTGCAAGGGGGAGGTGGGCAAGGTTTATCAGGAGATGGCAGGCAAGGTTAATCAGGAGATGGCAGGATTATCAGGAGATGGTGGCAGAGGTGGGTGCTGGTGCAGTCCTGAGGGACTGAGTCCATGGGTGTGACAGCAAAGCCAGGTGAGCCAGGTCATGGATGGGTCTGCACTGGGGAGGAGCAGGCAGTGCCTGCTGGGTTTGATCTGTGCTAGGGAAGCAGATCCTGTGGAGTCAGAAGCAAACTCTTGTGGTTTCCAAATGCTCATATGTAGCATTTTAGCAGGTGGCAGGTCTGGCAACCCCGGGCTCCATTCCTGGGCAGTGGCTGCAAACCCTTCCAGCCTCTTGGAAGAATGGTGTGGGTATGGCTGCTTTAGGAATGGCATCCAGGGATTTCCTGCTCCCTTCCACTGTCCCTGTGTAGGTTTTGTGGCATGCTCAGCACTCTGGAACACGTGCCCAGGGCTGGTGCCACAGTCTGGGCACTGCCCCCCTGAGCTGCCCTGGCAATCCCACATGGCCCAGGCTGTTCAGCAGGGGCAGGGTGGGTCTGGCTCCAAGCCAGGGGAGCTGCTCTGCCTCTCAGGTGGAGACGTGTGAGAGCAGACATAGCTGGATGTTTGAATGCCTTCCAGAAGATAAATCATCTGTGAGCACTGCTGAGGTGAACTCAGCAAGCACCAAAAGTAGGGCACAGCTGACTTTCCATCACATTCACTGACAGTAGCAGAGTAGAAGATGTTTCAGAGCAGCCTTGGTCACTGACTGGGAGCATGTCCCAGCCAAGGGTCACCACCAAATGCATCCACCTTCCCAGCATGGCTGAGGGCTGAGACAAGCAACACAAGTTTTTTGGCACCTGAATATTCCTCTAGAGAAGCCAAAATATATGCTCTTTTCCCTTTGCAGTTTGAGAGGACCTGTACAGAGGAGGTGGAGTTGAAAGCAGGGTTTGACCCTAGTATGCATGTGGCTTACACAGGAACCTCCAGTGTTTAAGGGATTTTTAAACTCTGCTCATTAGCTTGGAGCAAACCTCAGTGTGCAACCACAGAGCTGTCCTTAGGCAAATACTGTCCTCTGAAGTGACACTTCTTAGGTTCTCCAGCCAGATATAAATGCTAGATGGACTTAGCATTTATATTTTCATGGTGTAGTATGTGTATCTTTGTCTTTGGAGACAGCTGAAGGTGAATTTGTCTATCTTACTAACCATGTGGCAAGTAAACCCTGTGCTTGTCTTTTCTACAGGTTTGCATCATAGAAAAAAGGAGGGAAAAGGCAAGGAGAACCTGTCAGAAGAATTGGAGGGGAAGCTGGAGCCAGTCCTGGTCAGTCCCCTTTACAAAGTCCCATTTTGGGTGACTTGAACTGGCAGGTGAGGGCACCTCTCACTCTGAGCCTGCACAGAGTGTGAGGCTTTGGCGTTTTCTGGAGGTTTGCCTGTGAAACTGACTCTAACAGGAGATGAAAAGCAACTCAAAGGGACCAAGCTGCAAAGGAAGTAACAGGAAAATAACATTTATGAGAAGAGGAAAGCACCTCTGAAAGCTGGCAAGTAGAAAATTAATTTCAACCTGAAACTGCCACTTTACCAGGATGAAATCAGAGAAGTTCTCTCAGGAAATAAGCAAAATGCTCAGAAATCCAGGTTTCAACAGTGAAGTTCAATGTGAGCTGCAAATGCCTCAGGGAAATTGCAGGTAGATCAGCAAATAACGAATTACAGAAGTGAAGTCAGGATGTAATAAAAGCCTCAGTACCCCTTTGAGATAACATTTGCTTTTACCTGGAGAGGTTCCTGAGAGGGTTGTGGGAGCTTGAAAGAAAGCACTAGCTCCAAAATTGCAAACCTCAGAAGCAGGAAGAAAATAATTGCCTCCCAAAGAAACACGTAGGTAAGAAGATGCCTCCGCTGGGAGAGGTCAAGTCAGTAACAACCCTGTCTTTAGTCATCACTGAAATCCTGAAATCAGAAAGGCAGTCATGCAAGACAAAAAAAGAATTGCTTAAAGGGCTGAAATATTTTTCTCTATATTAAAGATGGACCAAGCCATGAAGTACAGCTCTAACTTGATCTCCAGACCCAAAATTCACAAAAGATTGGATTTGGGTTTTTCTGGGCTGGGCAAATTCATCTGGATCTCTCAGAGGTTGGTAATGTTTAGTTTTTGGGGTTTTTCTGTCTCAGGTTTTGCTCCAGACCCAGACAGGTGTGTAAAATCCTCTGCAGAACAGAACCAGGACCAGATTTGGGGCACATCAGTTTTGTGTTGTCCTGCACCAGCTCTGAAGAGCCAGGACATTGTTCCATTGTCACTGTGCCTGTGCTCATCCTGCTTTTTGTTGAATGTGGTAGCGCCACACAGGTGTGCTGCTAGCACTGCAGGTGTACATTCTCACCTCTGTAACTACAGGGACACCAATCACAGTGAAGGCTGGTAAGATTTGGGGCACAGATGGAGAGCTCTCTCTGCTCACCAAACCCTACACCCATCAGCTAATCTCATCTTGCTGGGACACACAGTTCATTTCTTGGAGGCTTCACCATGGGAAGCCACACTACAGGATGCCAGGGGGACAGGAGGAACCTGTCACCATCTGTCCCCCTCCACTTCCACATGTGGGGACCCAAACCCATCAGTCATCCTGACCAGGACCACTTTGGGCTCCTCTGATTCCTCCTGTGTGTTAAAGAAAGGGCGGGGTGCTGCTGGTAAGGAAGCGGGAAGGGTTGGAGGGAAGGGCAGATGTGCTCCCCCGGAGGGGCGCGGGAGGGAGGAGCCCTGCCCTGGCTCAGAGCACAGCCACGCTCAGCTGGCTGGGTCTGGTATTACAGGAAATTCTGCTGCTGCTGCAGGTACCATTAGTGCCTGTGAGCTGTGGTGTTGTTTGGGGCCGTGTCCTTTCAGTCACAGCCCTGCAGGATGTCTGTCACCTGTCACTGCTGCAGAGCCGCGGTGGGTGTGCAGGCAGGTTGTGCAGCTGCCTGCTCCTCCCCGCTGCCTGGCTCATGGCAGCACACCACAGCATCCTTTGGAGGATCATCCTGGGATATTGAGCCCAGGAGGAGCTGTAGCCCAGGCCTCCCATGGGAGATGGAATGCTGGAGGCCACTGAGTTGTTGCAAGAGGATGCCAAGGAATCCTTCTGGGATTTCTGTACGTGGAGGGGTGAAAGCTGCCATGGCCAATGCACACCTGAAAGTGTATGAGCAGTGCTGGAGGGGGAGAGGTGGCATGGAGGAGAAATGGGCAAGGGTGTTGCTAGACAGGTCCAGATATGTGGATGGAAAACACCAAAATTGGAGAGGAGTTGTCTGGAATATCCTCCTCATCAATTTCCTCATTTTGTAGAAGGACAATAAGCAATAAGCCCACCTTCTAGGTGAATTTTAACTTTATTGGGTAAAGATTTCCTGTCTTTCTGATAAATTCAGCCAAAAATGTCAGTGAACAGCAGCAGCACAGTCTTGCGTGTCCACAGATCCTTTACAGTTTGTTTTTACCATGGCTGGTTTCAGACACATAGGAAGGACCTCTTCTCTGTGTTCTTTTCTCTTACCAGAAGCTTTTGTCCAGGCATACCCAGGCTGTTTGTGTTCTCAGACAATAAGCTGCAATATCCAGAGATTTAAGGCAAAGGTCAAGGCCCTGTTGTGCAAGGCAGGATATTTTTCCCAGAAGTTAGTTCCTGCCCTGAAGAAGTTCCAGAGACAAAAGAAGACTCTGGCCCAGCTGACGACAGAGAAGTAGAAGGCACTGGTGAGACACTTATAATTAGTCTAATGAGGATCAATCAGATGACACCAGCTGCCTAACCATTGTCAGGTCATTTTATGGGCATTACAGCAGCAGCATGGTTATAAAGAGAAATGATAGAGGTATTAAGCAGTGACTACTTTCAGGACAGGCTTTTTCCCCTCATGAATGCAGGTTTATGAAATAAAGTGTAGAGTAAGAGCAGTTAATTAGGATATACCTGAAATGTGTGCTGCCTGTTTATTGAGTGCTGCAATCTCCCATCTAATGCCCACCTTGTGCCTTAGTAAGGCCCTGATTCCTGTGCACACATTCCCTGTAATTATCCCCATTTATACCTTTTGTACATGCAGCACAAATGTGAACCAAAACTTGGTCTTTCTAAGTCCAGAAAATACAGGCACAGAATCAATTATAATGCTAGAGGAGAATTCTAACCATTGGAATTACCTGCTATTCACAAGCAACTCTTTTAAAATCCAAATCCATCTGGGAGGAGTCCATCCAAATTTCCCACAATGGTTTCTAGAACATCCAACTGCTCACCTCTGCTTTACAATCACTGCCACTAAGCAGCAAGTAGGTCCTGTGAGCAGTTTTTCCCTTTGCAGTCTCTTCATGTTCATACATAATTTTCCAAGGGTGAGGTTTTTTCCAATAAGGAAGGAATGTTCATGCACAAATGGCAGTAGGTTGAAACGTGCATTGAGCCAACCTGGAATTTGTGGTTTAATAATCCCTTAAGACATTAACCAGGAAGGGACATTTGCCTTCTTGTATGTTGTATAAAACTTAAAAGAGACTGAGGGAGGGATATGAATTCATTATTCATGCATTATTCAGCACTCATTATTCTTTCCCCTGAAGACTGCACGAGTGTCTGAGCTCACTCTAGTCAATGGAAGTTCAATCACTACTGGCAGCAGAGCTAAAGCACGTGCAGGCTGACCAGTGCTGCTGTCTGCTCTGGGGGAGCTGAGTCCCCCCTCCCCAGTGAGCTGGTGTGTAGCCACATTTCTCTTCATAGAGAAAAGCAAGGCACAATTCTTCCCAAAAATATTTCTGGGTTTCACATTCTCTGAACCTCAGAGAAAAAAAAAAAAACAA